GGGGGGGAGCCTGGGAGGGGAGGGGAGGGGATGTTTGAGCTCAGTTATAGATGAGGAAACAAATATTACATATATCATGGGTTAAATCGATTAATTGTTTATGTGAAAATTTCCTTCTTTAAGAAAAAGGTTTCTCATACTAATACTAATACTGAGTATAATATTGGCCAGGATGAAAGAAACCGGATCACCCGGAGAAAACCTACGCGATACCCTTTTTCCAGGTGTTATGCTCTCTTACGTAACGTTCTCTGAATTGATCTATGTTTTCGCATCAATTTTTTAAACGAATAAAAAAAAATCATCATAGTAGGGAGTTTCCGGTGAGCTAAAATGAAAAAAGAGGACTTAATGAATTTGATGAAATGAAAACAAATCCAATATCCTTTTTGTCACACTCTAATCAAGATTTTTTGCGAACACACATTTTACATGCAAGGTCCAACATTCTGCCGTTTTGTCCCATTGTGACGTCATAATATAATCTGTAAATCTGCGATATTTTCCCATCATATCATTTGATGACATCGCTTGAAAGATCATATGTAACACAAGGTCTTACGTAAAAATAAGTAATGAATGTATTCATCGAATAACACGATAACCATGTGCTATTTGTCAACGACGTTAATAATCGTCAGTCACCAAGAAGTGTATTATTATAGGCCGTTTATACTGAAAGTCGATCTAAACCCCCAACACATGTAAAATTATTCTGAACACCTTAAATTAGTTTAGGTCCAAATAAAGCTGTTGATATATATGTATATATATATAATAGCTATATTTTCATGATATAATAGCTATATTTTCAATTATAGTATATCAATTCTATCTTCTTGTAATATGATGTATATGTTCATCTAACTGTTCTGTTTCACTGTGTCTTGAAAAAGGAGCGGATCGCTCCGAAAATTTGACAACCTAAACATGTCCACACTGTTGGAATTACTTTTTTGCCCCATATAATATTTTAAGTAATTGGTATCCTACGGACATACCTCCATTAGGATCCAATGTTATATGGGATTTTACCGTCTATATTACTTCTTTGACCCATATATATAACTGCCTATATAGTTGTACCATTATTCAGGTATCCGGTTTTCGAGTGACAATAGTAAGAATATTTCGGAAGATAAAACTGCCGTGGATTAACATGTGGTCATTGCTGATATCTACAATGATAGCTTTCAAAATATACCATTTCAAGGTATGCGACTGCGCGAAAAAACGACTAACCATGAGGAGAATTTGGAATGTATTATGTATGAATCGTCTGAGGCTACTTATAGTACTATACCGTATGATCTGCTGCCGACAATGGCGTATAGACTGGTCGCTTATATAACATCAAGTCAGTTAGTCATTATGACAAATGAGACAGAAAATCTGATTACAAGAATTATTTGTATGTGCATTGCCTATCAGACGGGTCTTTTCACCAGTAGTGAGATATCGGCATCAAATATTAAGAATATTCCTTGAGTAATAATTATGCAGAAATAAAGGGCCGTTTAGCTTGAGTAGCTTCAAATATGTTGTGATCGAACAAAGAAAATACATCATTTATCGATTTTCTTACTGTCGACACAAGTAATAACCGCTCCCCGGCCAAGGTTGGTAGCAAAATGTGCACTATATTATATCGAAAGTGCCGACCATGTTTTTTGATGTGCATTTCTTTGGGTTATACCGGACTTCTTGATGTAAAAACACAGTAATCTGAGTTTAGTATCTACACAAAAGATCGGATACATAAATGATAAGGATTTATTTATAGACACAGTTGTTATTTTAATGCTGGATTTCCGGAAACCATCGCTATCTAAGGATAACGTGAAGCACAGGACAGACTATCGATCGAGTGGGGCCCGGCAAAATCGTGCGTGAGTAGAAATCATGTCGGCCTTCTTCTCCTGTATCGGGGGCAAAAATCCACTGAAGAAATCAAAAAAGAAGAAAGGAAAAGAGCCGGAAGACAGGAAGGTAAGACGGATGAGTTAAACGATGGTACACGCGTGTGTGTATGTGTGCGATTAAATATACGCTGCGATACACATAAGCATCTGCCATAAATATAGAAATGTGACTCGGGTCACATGACTACCGGCATGTGTTAGTGTGAGTGAAATCGACATAGACTCCGTATGTGATTGTTGACGATTTACACTACCTAATCCAGCATTGTAACAAAATGTAGGATCTATAGGTAACTGTAAATGACGCGAGGCTAAACAATATTCACTGACGCACATGGCCGTGTACACGGTTCGTGGGGACGAACACAAGTCCTTGGCTTATACGTTCGCATGCCTCTCTATACTACCTTACTGCTGTTTTCATGAAATTGTCAGTGTTTTACATAGTTTATTGTTACAGATCTATATCGGTAATCGATATTCATATAATATGACATAATATCTATATATATAATACACGTAGATATGTAAATCTACTTAATTACTTCGCCGCTGAGACGTATACTAAATACTAATGTTGGTGTAAGTCATTGGTTGTACTAACCAATACTAATATCAACATTGAATTCTTGATAATAAAGCAGACGATGTCAAACAAACATTTTGAGTGTATTTCTTAATTTTATGATTATGCTTTTTCATTCTATTTCATCGGCGACTATATATATATATAATATACACGTCTTTGATTTAATTGCATGGCCACCGATACTAGACTTAGCTATACGCATATATACATGTATTGACATTCTGATGTATTTTTAGACATTATTACACGTTATACGTATAACGTGTGAGGAAATATCGTGCAATGTATAGACTTATAATCCCATTGGTATTGGAATCCTGAGACAATGCCTGATCACCCCCTATAAGCCAGGCTTGACTCGCGTCTATAACGTCTATAGTCTAATCACTAGTAAAGCAAAGAACACCATTTCAAGCGTAACGGGCAAAAATCGTTAAAGCTATTTAACAAATGGTCCTAGTGCATATGCATGTCATTAAACTAGTCTTGAGCTGAACGACAGCTCGCTATAATTTTAGGTTCACATGAAAGGGAGCGGTTATTATTTATCTTCATGGCACTTTAGTATCTAGCGTTATCTCAGAACTAACGGTACAAGTCCTCAGGGTAAGATACGATAGAGACCCTTGACCACAGACCTATCTTGTCCAATGGCTGTCAGCTAAAATCCGATGGGGGGGGAGGGTGTCAACTTGGAGAAGACAGAGACGTATATTACATGGATAAGATAATAAAATAATCTTAATCTCATTCCCAAATACATAATATAGGGACACGTTTATTTTTAAGAACAAGCCAATGAAGTGGGAGGGAAAATGTTAAAGCATTCCCTTTCTTCCTTCCATCCACATTTTGGGAAATAGTTGAGAGATACAAATTTTATGTAAGTTTAGACTTAAATCATTAGCTATATTTTAGTAGTACGAGAATACAGAGATAAGACCTGAACATTCGTTTTATCACGTTGGAAAAGTGTTGTTATACTAAAAACTTAAATAACAGGCACGAGTCTGTTATGATGTACTCCTGAAATACTTGCTGATTATGTATTCTATGTAAGTTTCATTAACTAAACGAAATCAGAAAATAAGAATTAAAAAAACTGATTGCTATTGCCTACTTAACCTATACGAGCTGAATTTATCTTCAGTTGATAGTACTAATTAAGGGGTTGTACTAAAGCTTTATTCGATTCACTTAAGATACAGTGACATTTGAACCGCCTTTAATTTTTCACTTAATAGTGGAATTAAAAAGTACCTAGTACTTCACCCACTGAAAATGTACGAGATGCTAGCGAGATACTTACGATTTTAGATATTTATCTTTAAAATGATCGGAGGTTCTGGAGAAGGGGTTTGGTCGAAAAGTAGACAAAATATTTGTCTATTTCTTTTAAAATAAACATGACATCCCTGGAACAACTGTAAAGTGCTAGAAAAAAAGACAAACAGGAAATTGATGAAAATAAAGAAAATCCATCTGGTTAAGGAGGGAAAGGAATCGAAGAACAGAGACGAGGGGGATACCAGCCGAGTCATTTTCTTGATCCCAATTTAACCTCCACTAAGGGGCGGAATGGCTAAACATATTACCCGTCCTCTAACTGTCTGTAGTATCAGAGTGTGATACAGCGAAATGCATCGCTATATAGTCTGGCAGCAGGTGAATAGTGAGCTGTTTCAGCGGTTTAGAGGCGAGACACCGGTCATTTGCACTATTTGCTTGGCAAAGGAAACAGACGTTTTCGAAATCTCGTAGAACAAGTTTTAATTAAATTTGAACTAAATTTGACTGGAAGTATTCCTAGGTGGTAGGGATTCAAAATTGTACAAATGGTGGGGCTGACCCCCAAGGGGGCTGAGGGGCGGGGCAAAAAGGGGGCAATTTGGCTATATTGCTTTAAGCGACTTCTTCTCTGGAACTATGCCATGGATATCAACCATATTTGACTGGAAGCATCCCTAGGTGGCGGAGATTCAAAATTGTACAGATTTTGGGGCTGACCCCCCAGGCTAAGGGGTGGGGTCAAAATAAGTTTATCACTTGGGAATGGTTGAGATCCCCACCGTATAACCATATATACAATTGCTGAGTATGAAGAGAATAATGCACAGTTGCTTCCAGGATGGCTCTAGGGTCTGGCCCCTTCTTGGAGACATAGTCCCTGGGTCATAACTTTGAAACGGTTGAGATCCCCTCCCCAAAACTAGATATACAAAGCTGGGCATAAAGAGACGAATGCAGTCATGATAATAGAATAAATAGACCATGGGGTCTGACTGAACCCCTAGTGACCTAGTTTCTTAGTCACAGCTTGGAAACAGTTGAGATCCTCACCGTATAACCATATATACAATTGCTGAGTATAAAGAAATGAATGCACATATGCTTCCAGGATGGCCTTGGGGTCTGCCCCCCCCTTGGAGACTTAACCCCTGGGTCATAACTTTGAAATGGTTAAGATCCCCACCCCAAAACTATATATACAATTGTTGGGCATAAAGAGACGAATGCAGTCATGATATTAGAATTGATCCTGGATTGGCCTTGGGGTCTGGCATATTCCCTTTGATCTCATTCGGAGAATATTTTGCCATGATTGCTTAGATATCCAGGTGAGCGATACAGGCCCTCTGGGCCTCTTGTATTTAATACGTATTGAGTTTACAACTGTACATAGAATACTATGAATACTAAAATTTGAGCGTTAGCAATGTGAACACTAAAGGCTGATGGTCTTTAAGGGCAGATGTTAGTGGTTGGTTGTTCTATCAATTGAACACAGTGGTCGTTGCGTACGGAAATTCCGCGTGTACCGCTTAATAAATGAATGCGGAAATTTTGAGAAAGTTGCTAAGCCTTTTTTCCTGATGTCCATGTTTGTCTAAGCAAAGCTCTATTTTTAGCGTTTTCTTTGCGTGTTTGTACTATGTTCCATAAGTATAGCAACATGCACATATCGACCTTTTGTTTAAGGAATCTGCAACCGTTAAATACATGTATAGAATAACGCTGTGGTCAGTGTTAGGAGCGATCAATGTGACCAGCCTCTAGGCCGTCTTCACAACACAGAGGCCGCTTTCCTTTATCCGATTGAAACAGTCCAAAACGTCCGTATAAAACATACACACTTGAGCCTCCGTAACAGACACAGTTTTCATTTCAGAACATTTATTGTTTAGATCTTAGATACAAAGGAATTGGGCAACAGGCAAAGCCTATGAGCGCCCTCTCCTTACAGTTATAAACAGTTTACACACATCATATTGAATTGAAGTAATGACAAAACAGACACAGTTTCAGTTTGTTTGTTTGTGATTTACGTCCTATTAACAGCTATGGTCATTTAAGGACGTACCAGGTGTTGGTGGTGAAAGAAAGCCGGAGTTCCCGGAGAAAAAACACCGACCTCCGACCAGTATCTGGCGACTGCCCCACGTAGGGATCGAACCCGCGACCAAGTGGTGGAGGGCTAGTGGTAGCAGAATGTCAGACGCGTTAACCACTTGTCCACCGCTACCCCTACACAGTTTCTGAGTTTCTCTCAAGTAAATAGCAGTAAACGTGCTCTTTTAACCATGAATCAGTTGTTTATTTCTCACATGCATTCAGTTGTATGGCATTTCCTAAAATACACTCTGCCTTTTACCAAGTCGGTCAGGGTTCGATTCCCCATTCGGACTTGAAAAGGTATGGGGTTACATGTCCATTCACGACGGTTTTCTCTAGGTTATCCGGTTTCCTCCGACTTAAGAGCCCCAGCGTAAAATACATCTATCCCATAATATAACAGCTTGCTGTTGTGCATTTTTACACCGATAAGCTGTTATTCTAAAAATAACATATTTCCAAAATTTTCTCTAGAGATCTACTAAATACCGAATGCCTTGCAGGGATTTTCGAATTACATTATTATCACAATGCGAATCTGAGTTGACAACCTAGCTTTATATTGTAATACTAGCTATACTACGCTGTTAAGTTTCCGCCATGCACGACTCGTACCTCACAAGCAGCATTTACCTTATTTTTCGAAGGCCAGTCTCGATCTCGATCTACGTCGGTTTTTTACCGGGTTCAACATGTTGAATCGGCTTAATCTGTTAAACGAAAGCGGCCATAGTTAAAGTCTCTCATATTATAAACAACTTCCATTGTATATATACATAAATATATATTTATAAATCAATCAATCAATAAAATATTTTATTTAAACAAAATAGCATTGGTCTGTTTAGCAACTTGAACTTCTGACCTTGGCATGGGTCTTTGTGACGTCACTATCGTAGATTGCCTTTGTTAGATTCATGATAATTGCTGAAGACTTCGTCTGTAAATGTAAACCTCCATCAAAAATCGGTAGACACTCTGACTATTGCTTACATCTACCCATATTTATGTTTTCAACGTATCGATTAAAAATTATACCGCTTTACACAATCGTAATACTGTCGTTTTTGTCTCGTACGTACAGAGGAAATCAGAGCCAATCCCGGAGAAAGAAGATGATGTGGAAACCCCTGTTGTTGAGGAAATTAAACCCGAGGAGGCACAACCTGTCAAGAAGTCTCCGCTCCAGGTATATTGCCATTAATTTTGCACTAACGTTACACAACGACAAATAGCTAAAAAGAAAAAAATGCAGTTTACAAAGAGGGATCCAAATCATTTTTTTTTTAAATCTGTTCTACATTTAGTCACTTTAACGATCGTTGTAATCGATATTATTTGTTCTATATTTTGGCGCGGAAGGGTTTCTTTGATTCTACGTTATTATTAGCGCGTAAAGAAGATGACGTTGAACTGACGTCATGGAAAAACCGGAAGTAGATCTGACGTTTTGTGTCCTGCGGTATGTTAGAAGGTTGCTGTTATCGTATTTATATCAACATTCATTCAGGAAAAGGCGGAAGGTATCGATCTTATCAAGTAATGCATGTTATTTAGTATTTCTTCTTGTAAACAATACTACAGAACGTTTGTTAATTTATAGATTCAGTGCAGGGAGAACCCAATGTAACGGATCGCTTCTCAAAGTGGATGGATTGTTCAGATTTTCATTTTGAAGTGTGTCTGTTGTCATTGTTTTACAATTTAGATGTCTAAAGAAGGGAAATTGATGAAATCTTTTCGTGCATGCTTGAATAATTTGAAGCTCAGAAGAAATCAGACGTATTCAAGTCGTTACAGAAGAGCAACTGTATGTACTGTGTAGATTTCTGCTCATAGTTCGGTAGGAATAAACTCATGACTATCGGATAGAAATACTTCATTCGTATAAATAAATCAATAACAGTTTGTGTAGAACAAGGAAGGATATTTGGTTTAGTTTAAGATTTTAGCAAACCTGGCTAAAAAAACGTCAATAGATATCTTGCAAGATGCAATACTCAACATAAAATAGTTGGACATAAACTTTATTTTTATTCTGTTATTTCTGGGGTATAACAGAATTCTAAAAAATATTAATAGTAAGTAAATATCCAATGTTATATTGTTTATTTTATATCTTCTTTTTCGTTTTTGAAGACAAAACATGTCGTCAGAATAATGTATTAGCTCACCGTAATGTATGAGCTTATGCCATACCGTGGAGTGCGTCGTCCGTCCGTCCGTCGTCTGTTGTCCGTCGACTGTACGTCAACAATTTCTTCAAACGACTTCTTCTTAATCACTGATTGGAATTTAATTAAATTTGATTGGAAGCATCCCTATGTGATGGGGATTCAAAATTGTACAAATGATAAGGCTGACCCTTTAGGGGGCTGAGGGGCGGGGCCAAAAGGGGACAATTTGGCTATATTGCTATATATATATATAAACGACTTCTTCTGTAGAACTATGCCATGGATATCAATCATATTTGGTCGGAAGCATTCATGGGAGGCAGGGATTAAAAATTGTACAAATGGTGGGGCTGACCCCTAAGGGGGCTTAGGGGCGGGGTCAAAAAGGGTTATTTGGCCATATATTTTAAGCGACATCTTCTCTGGAACTAAGGGATGGTTATCAACCATATTTGACTGGAGTATCCCTAGGTAGTAGAGATTCAAAATTGTACAAAATGGTGGGGCATACAGAGACGAATGCAGTCATGATATTTGAATTGACCACAGGGTCTGCCCCAACCTTGCAGACTTAACCCCTGGGTCATAACTTTGAAACGGTTGAAATCCCCACCCCAAAATTACATATACAAATGCTGGGCATAAAAAGACGAATGCAGTCATGCTATTATAATTGATCCTCGGGTCTGGTCACAATCCTAGGGACCTAGTTTCTTAGTCACAGCTTGGAAACAGTTGATATCCCCACCCCATAACCATACATAAAATTGATGGGCATGAAAATTCTAATACAGATAAGCTACAAGGATTGGCCTTGGGGTCTGGCCTTTTCCCTTGGATCTCATTTGGAGAATAGTTTGCCATGATTGCTTAGAAATCCAGGTGAGCGATACATGCCCTCTGGGCCTCTTGATTTAGTTACATAATTTAGATCAACTTGTGTACTTTCAGGTGAATATTGAAAATGCCAAACTTCGGCAGGTTGAGAAAGCCCAAGAAAGTCATGCTAAGGCGGAGGAGCCTGTTAGCCCACTACTCAAGGAGCTCCACGAGAAGTTTCAACAGAGGAAGGACAAATCTAAGGTCGGGGCGGACGGCGACCAGGCTACCGTACCGGAGGAGAGTCGCGGGGAGAGCAAACCGGACAACATCGCCCCGACGGGGGAGGTGGCTAAACAAAACCTACCAAAGAACTTTGCAAAGAATGCCGTACCGCCGGCGTCGACTCAGGACCATGAACCGGAGCTGTGTTTAATAAGGACGCGCATAGCACAGGTGGAACGTGAGAATGATCGACTTAAAATCACAATAGAGGAACTTAAGGACGGAGAGCGAAAGAAGAGTACAGAGGCTGAGGAATCGGCCAAACTTGTAGGAAACTTACAGGTCGAAATGGTAGCTCTGAAAAAGGAGAAGGAAGATCTTTTAGCAGAAGTGGAAACTCAGCGTGCTCGAGCGGAAAGTTATGTTAATTCTCAGGCTAGGAGTGATCATGAAAATGATTTGGACAATGCTAAAGGTCGAGAGGAAATCCTTGAGGCCATCGGTCATTTAGATAGGGTGTGTTCAGCATACGAACCAGTCGTGGAAAAGGTAGAGAAGATCGAGGAGGATTTAGACCGTGAACGGAAAGATGAAAAATTATCAGAAAGATTAGCAGTAGTTGAAGAGAATCGGGGTAAAATAGGCGATGATGTCATGGGTTTGCTCAAGAGTCTTCAGGAACTAGAATGTAGAATCATACGTCTGGAGGTCAGCAAGGACGATGAGGAGGCAATGGAAGCGATTTCAATGAAGGTGGTCCAACGGCTGTCGGTGGCAGAGGAAGACCACTCCAGTTTGACAAGGGAAGTGGGCGCGCTCTCACACTCTTACTCCGACATGGAGCTAAGGCTAACGCAAATCGAGGACCAGAAGAACGCACTTCGTGCCCAGGTTGAAGCTTACACTGAAGAAACAGCTCAACTGAAACACACCATTGAGGACCAAATGGCAATGCTGAAGGGCCAGGATGGGGTGCTAGCGGAAGCCCGTAAATTTGGAACGCTGAAACAAGAGGAATTACAGGAAATAACGTCAGGATACGAAAAAGCAGCAGCTCGGTTAAAGGAAGAGGAAAATAAATACTCAAGGTTGGAGGCAGACATGAAGGACATTCGACAGAAATATCAGGATCTCATGGAACGGTAGGTTCAGATATGTCCAACATCTCAGCATGTCCTATTATTGTAATCTGAAATCTAGAGGTTGGTGATCATTTAACAAAGACATGGAAATAGCAATGATAATAACATAAGACAACTCCGTGAGAAAACACCGAGCTGAGAACAGTGGTAGGAGAAAAGGGTTGAGTGCCAGTTGTTAAGTCCACAGGGGCCTGAGAATTTGTTGCAGCTATATTTTGATCTAGACTGAGGTGGTCAGAGTAATTTTAGGGGTATTCGATAAAAATAACACCCGCAATGATTATATACCATCATTAGGGATGTAAATTTTACCGAAAAATTGACATAAACCCCTAAAACGGGTAAAACTGCTCTGAACACCTCAGTTTAGGTCAAATACAGTTGTGACAAATTCTCAGGTCCCTGTTGTTACCTCTACCCGGATGTGTAAATGGACACCATAATTCAGTAATCCATTGTATACTGATGCTCTTTTTGGCTCGTCCTTAAATTACTTTAGCTGTAAATAGAACGTCAAACCTTGTTAAACCAAACTTAATCTTTTAGTATATTATTGAACTGATATTTTTGACAGACTATTAGGTTGTAGGGTATAAGTACAGGCTTGTGTGTGTCTACTGTTTAGTGTTCAATTGTTTAATTTGTCCCTGTCGCTGTTTATACACAGGCTAATGAAGATCTTGTAAGTACAGGGTACAAGTTACCTTCTTCCGAATTCTTGCTATTCATTTATTTTCAAATTGATTTGTTTTTGTTTCAAAATGTTCATAAAGAGCAGAATATATACTTTACGATGTATTTTTTTGCAGTTGCCACAGATATTGGTTCCTTTAAGTTTTTCATTACTTGAGTTGCAGCCTTGTCTTTGTTAAATACATGTATATTATATTCAAGCTGTGCATGTCGTTAAAATACAAGAGTCCACCGAAGGCTTGACATGTTCTCCTATAGAGTCTGCTCTCACTCTGTTGGCTGAAAAGTGCATGTTTCAACTTTCAATCGAAATGTGTACTTGTGGGCAGTTTATGTATTTATGTATGTACATGTAATATTGCATCCCAAAAAAATACGAATTTTTCATATCAAAAAATCTTTCTGCATATATGAAAAAAAGAATTATTGCATACTTTAAAACGAATACTGGTGTCTCATACACATTTATTTTTGTATACCAATATTATTTTTGTATGCAAAATTCAAATTTCGCTTATGCAAAAAATAATATTTGATATGCAAACATACATTGTTTAGGTTATGAAATATCCTCTTTTGGGTTATGCAATAATATTTTTGGATATGAGCACTTTCCGCGCCATAAGCGACACGATACCATCTTTTCTGATTCCAGCCAACACAAACATAATATACCATTCTTTAGTCGGTCAAACTTATCATTTTAAACGATTGTAGGCACATTGCTGAGTAAAATATATATTACTCATAATTTGCTTTTTTTTCCACATGTGATCTCCCTGTTCTTGGACTTATGCAACTGTTAAGAAACTGATCAAAATAATGGCTGCTATTTTATCAATAGTCAACATTTGTTTTGTAGAATTGGGACACATTATAATTGCACCATGTACAGTGTTAGGTTGTTTGTTTTTGGCGTTGTTTGGTTATGTTGTTTGATTGTTGGAGGTATCATATACTGTCCAGTGTTGGTGTCTCGATACAAGTCATAGAAAGAGGAAATGGATTTTACAATGTTGAGCAAAGTACATTTGTTTTGAAACAGCCTTGGAGCAAATCTAAATGATTATGTTTCTCAAATGATGTTCGTAATTTTGAAATATGTATATATATATGTTGATCTGTGGTGTATCGCACACATTTGTCTTCTGTTACTGCAGAATATAATTCCACTTTTTGTGGAAGAAACATTTTTGTTTTTTTCACCTCAGAGAATGCAAATTGCTTGATAGCTGATTGATTTGTCAGCATGTAAGAAAAAGAACACCTAGTACATGGATATGTTATACCACAGGTACCGGAGTGCCACGGCGGACGAGGTGATAGCTCGGGAGGATTTCAACCTCGTCACCATGAAAGTTGATGAAGATATTCCGATCATGATCTCAGAGAGGTTTCACAAGGAACTGTACTGCGATAAATGGGCAAGCGCGTACGAGAAACTGAACACCACTTTTAAGAGGGACGAGAAAAAGGCTCTTCAGATCCTCATGGATTTCTGCACGGTAAAAAGCAATCCGTCAATAATATAAAATGATGTTTTACACGTATTTTAAATTTCATCGTGGAGAAAATCTATTGAGTACGTGTAAGTTCAATATGATAGTTTTAACTCATTTGTATTCGGTGAAATTCATTTCAGCTGTAGTTGGTGAAAGATAGGCCTACAACAGTTACTACTAAAACATAACATTGATTATATTGTATTTTCTCTACAACATGAATTTCTCTATTCACGAATAAAAAAGAAATGACAAAAGATGACTACAAAACACAGCAACCAAAATATTACAATGTATATAATCATTTTTAGCTCACCTGGCCCGAAGGTGTTTATGTTTAAAACCTTTAAACAACTTCTCCTGAATAACCAAGAGGCCTAGGGTAATGATATTTCGTCAGTAAAATGCTGGGATGAAGGGTTAAGGGCTACCAAGTTTGTTCAAATGAACGACCTTGACAAATATTTAAGGTCACAGGTGTCAAATATGTTAAAAACAAGATTTATTCTCTAAAGCAAAAGACTAAGGGTGATGATATTTGGCCAGTAACATGCTTGGATGAAGGACTATGTTCAAATGAATGACCCTCACCCATTTTCAAGGTGAAAGTGGTCAATATACAGTGTATGTTTAAATATTTAAATGACTCGTTCTGTATGTTTAAATATTTAAATGACTCGTTCTGTTTAACAAAAATGTCCAGGATAATGATATTTTGGCAGAAGCATGGTGGGTTGAGAGACTATAAACTCTGTTCAACTTAATGTCCTTGCTCAATATATTCAATGTCACATGCGTCATATGTTTAAATCTTCTTATGAATCAAACACTGATAATCTGCCTGTAGCTGTACTTTAGTCCACTTTTAAGATTAAGAGTGTGAGATTAATACCAGGTGAGCGATTCAGGCACATTGGGCCTCTTGTTTGTGGTCTAATTTGGTTCAAACAAACTGTTTATCAATTGGCAAAACAGCTGCGGGAACAAGTTCGTGCTTTCAAACAGTTCCGTCGGGAATTTCCGTAATATTTCAAACTTGATCTTACATCATGACTTGTCCCCATTACACAAACCCGTATGAAAGTGTGAGGGGGGGCACATGTTAATATAAAGCTGATTGTATGCACAAACAAATGTTTCGTAATTGTTGGCCACTCAGACAATCGTTTCACAGTTGGTACGTTCAAACAAATGTTTCATGGTAACAAAACAATTGTTATACCCATTATTTGACATTTGCATGTTGATGTTTATTGATGTTGGTGTATTTAGGACTGGCTCGTGATGCGGCGACAGGGAGTTCAGCCCCAGCATCATAAACCGCTCCATCGATCGACACCTCTTATGTAATAGTAAACGTGTAGGATCTCCTGTAGTCTCGCGGGTGTCTGGTCTACACGCCTAGATATGCCTCGTTCTTGTGTAGTCATGTTTGATGAATTTGTCATAGAATATACGATGTACCTTATAAATATTTAAATTAACTAGACTTCAGATTTATATGGGTACATTGCATAAGTTTTTATTTGTGGTATTTTGAAACTTGATGCACGTGGCTGTTTGCTGCTCGCTAAATCTGATAACAGAAAAACGCATTCATGGGATACATAATACCTGTAATAGATACACACAATTTACTCGTCTGCTACTACTGTTGGTACACACTTGTGGATGCCACGATTTAGTTTTAATATCGTCATAGGGGGTACAGCATACATTGGTGCTACTGTTTTCCTAGCCCTCAAATCGATTTGAGGGACCTGATAATTTGTTACAGCTATATTTGGACTTAAACTAAGGTGTTAACATGTTTTAGGGGTTTAGATCGACTTTCCGTACATATGCCACAGTATATATGATCATTGGGGCGTCATTTGTGGTTTAGGAGGTATGTGTGGTTAGGAGGTATTTGGTGTTGTGTTGTAGTTGTATTTTGTTTACTTTTGTTTTAGGAATTTCGATTGAGAGGTATTTAATGTTATAAGGACTTTTATCAGGTGTTGCTTTTGCTGTTTTAGGAGGTGTACCTACACTGCCGCCGTATAGCCCGCCAGCAGATAGATATGGTCTGGTCACTCCTGTGTAACCCCACGGCGGCCCAGGTCCGCGGGGGCCTGTCCCGGAGGACCTCCACGGCGGTAGGTATACGTAATACAGAATTGTCATTGATTTCTAATGAATATGAAGTAGTATTATACTCCCCAAGGTACGTTCTATATGTTTGTGTCCTCTATTACAGAAGCTGCCTCCCCCGGACTCCGTGCCCGCTGTCCTTAGGGACCTCATCTCGGAGTACCGCCGCAAACCTAGCAAGGAGTTCGTCGACCATCTTTATGATGTATGGTTATTACTGAATTATATCAATCAGATTAAATTACATATTTCAACATTGCATCTTTACACAAGTAGTGATTGAAACGGTCTTAAACACATTCGTTCTTTAAATTCAGAACGAGCAAAGCGACATCCCTTGTTTGTGTAAAGATCCACATGAATTATGTTTGGACCTATCATGTTGTGTAGATATATTAGACATTTACAAAAAATGCAACCCCAATGATGGTATTCACTAGGAGAGTGAAAAAGCTTTCGATGTCGAAAAATAGACCCCACCACGCTTTCTGTAACAAAATTCACAATTTGATGGGTGTACAAAAAAGGCTTGGTATCATTGGAAAGATGGAGTTTTTTTCCTTTAATAAAATTCTTTATCCATATAATATATATTCTTCTTACGCAATACTATCTCTGTTTCATCCCAAAACAAACACCGTTTCAATGATTAAAAGTTTTTTTCATTCATTGTGCCACTTTTTGCAAATACCCCTAGTCACGCTGGCTGGTTATTTCCTGAGTTATTTTAGTCGTCGTGACCGTACTTCACTTCAGGGTTCCTGCTTTGTTTTAATTTTATAATAGATATAACGGAAAGTAGATTTTCGCTGAAAATCAGTTGAAATAAACATGTGACGTGTGCGTCCTCTTGGAGCCCACAGTAAACATAAAGGAGTGTAGGAGTTATGGTGGGAAATCTAGGTAGATTCACAGAATCCCTACAGTCGATAATCCTATTAAGTGCAACGACCACGAAAATTCGCGAGGTGCACGCGTAAAACTGACCGGTAAATACTGGAGATGTTCGCAAGGAACTGTAGTTTACAATGATAAAAAAAAAATTAAACAATCAAAATGTCTTCAGGAGGAAACAGAAATGATGTTTGCGGAGGGAGAATACATTTTATGTAGAAAGAGAATGTTAGTTAAGAAAAAGTAACCATCCTTATCAATAATGATACCGACCTTTTCCTGTACACCTAAATGAAATGTGAATATTGGCTGGGTCGACATCGAGAGCTTTCCACCCTTCTACCATCATTAATTTGGGTGGTGTTAGTACCGAGTGTTGTTTGTCTCTCTAAAAAACCCAACTTAAAATGTTTAATATTACTCAAACATCAGGATAAGTCCACACAACCTCAACTTAAAATGTCTAATATTACTTTCTTCACATCAGGATAAGTCCACACAAACTCAACTTAAAATGTCTAATAATACTTTCTACACATCAGGATATAAGTCCACACAAACTCATCTTAAAATGTCTAATATTACTTTCTACACATCAGGATATAAGTCCACACAAACTCAACTTAAAATGTCTTATATAACTTTCTACACATCAGGATAAGTCCACACAAACTCAACTTAAAATGTCTAATATTACTTTCTTCACCTCAGGATAAGTCCACACAAACTCGATTTAAAATGTCTAATATTGCTTTCTACACATCAGGATAAGTCCGCACAAACTCAAATTAAAATGTCTTATATTACTTTCTATACATCAGGATAAGTCCACACAAACTCAACTTAAAATGTCTAATATTACTTTCTACACATCAAGAAAAGTCCACACAAACTCGATGTAAAATGTCTAAATTTGCTTTCTACACATCAGGATAAGTCCACACAAACTCGATTTAAAATGTCTAATATTGCTTTCTACACATCAGGATAAGTCCGCACAAACTCAAATTAAAATGTCTTATATTACTTTCTATACATCAGGATAAGTCCACACAAACTCAACTTAAAATGTCTAATATTACTTTCTACACATCAAGAAAAGTCCACACAATCTCGATGTAAAATGTCTAAATTTGATTTCTACACATCAGGATAAGTCCACACAAACTCGATGTAAAATGTCTAAATTTGCTTTCTACACATCAGGATAAGTCCACACAAACTCAACTTAAAATGTCTTATATTACTTTCTACACATCAGGATAAGTCCACACAAACTCAACTTAAAATGTCTAATATTACTTTCTACACATCAAGAAAAGTCCACACAAACTCGATGTAAAATGTCTAAATTTGCTTTCTACACATCAGGATAAGTCCACACAAACTCGATTTAAAATGTCTAATATTGCTTTCTACACATCAGGATAAGTCCGCACAAACTCAAATTAAAATGTCTTATATTACTTTCTATACATCAGGATAAGTCCACACAAACTCAACTTAAAATGTCTAATATTACTTTCTACACATCAAGAAAAGTCCACACAAACTCGATGTAAAATGTCTAAATTTGCTTTCTACACATCAGGATAAGTCCACACAAACTCGATTTAAAATGTCTAATATTGCTTTCTACACATCAGGATAAGTCCGCACAAACTCAAATTAAAATGTCTTATATTACTTTCTATACATCAGGATAAGTCCACACAAACTCAACTTAAAATGTCTAATATTACTTTCTACACATCAAGAAAAGTCCACACAATCTCGATGTAAAATGTCTAAATTTGATTTCTACACATCAGGATAAGTCCACACAAACTCGATGTAAAATGTCTAAATTTGCTTTCTACACATCAGGATAAGTCCACACAAACTCAACTTAAAATGTCTTATATTACTTTCTACACATCAGGATAAGTCCACACAAACTCAACTTAAAATGTCTTATATTACTTTCTACACATCAGGATAAGTCCACACAAACTCAACTTAAAATGTCTTATATTACTTTCTACACATCAGGATAAGTCCACACAAACTCAACTTAAAATGTCTTATATTACTTTCTACACATCAGGATAAGTCCACACAAACTCAACTTAAAATGTCTAATATTACTTTCTACACATCAGGATATAAGTCCACACAAACTTGATGTAAAATGTCTAATATTGCTTTCTACACATCAGGATTAGTCCACACAAACTCAACTTGAAATGTCTAATATTACTTTCTACACATCAGGATATAAGTCCACACAAACTTGATGTAAAATGTCTAATATTGCTTTCTACACATCAGGATTAGTCCACACAAACTCAACTTGAAATGTCTAATATTACTTTCTACACATCAGGATATAAGTCCACACAAACTTGATGTAAAATGTCTAATATTGCTTTCTACACATCAGGATTAGTCCACACAAACTCAACTTGAAATGTCTAATATTACTTTCTACACATCAGGATATAAGTCCACACAAACTCGATGTAAAATGTCTAATATTGCTTTCTACACATCAGGATTAGTCCACACAAACTCAACTTGAAATGTCTTATATTACTTTCTACACATCAGGATAAGTCCACACAAACTCAACTTAAAATGTCTTATATTACTTTCTACACATCAGGATAAGTCCACACATACCTGCTGTAACACATTTTCAGGTCTCTGTATGAAAAACAACTGTTTACAACTATATGACTATTGACTTCTGGTTTAGAGATTGTGTTGATCTAACTGGGGTCAGAATCGACCCTGTAGGATTTCTTTCCTTACATTTTATATCAGCTATTCATTATAGCCTGTTGCCCCACATAGATCGTCTCTTATAGTCATGCAGTGAGATACAGCGGGTCCACTCCGACGTCAAATTGATGGGATCATTCTCACTCAAACAATTTCTTACCAGCGTTATCTTCCCTTTTTGATATTCCTCTAGAGTAACCGGGTTTCTGTTATTCAACAGAAACCTTATTTCGCTTTATTAATCAAGGAGTCAAAACAGGATTTAAACAAACGTGATCAAAATATAAACTCCAATTGCTCATACATATGCATTTGCCTACCATAGTGTTATCTGTTTTGTATTACCTTCCCTATCCAGCGTTTATGATAGTATCTTAGATTGCATAGACAAGGATGAGTTATACAGTAAGTAAGCTTGGGAAATATTAAAATTATAAACTTGGATGCATAAGTCGTCCTCGAACTCGGGTAGAATTTCCAATGAGGTCACATTTCAGAGCGGTCTAATGCACACCTACTTAGTATATTAAGTTATTCCGTTGCAGAAGGCACACCACATGAATCCACTCCAATTACATTTTATGATTTCCCTAAAATTCCTTATACAAGTCGGATTATTTTATTACAGGATTTCCTTGGACAGCTGGACTTTGAGAAATCTCGCCATTTACGTAACGTGCATGAACGAGAAGTGAACGAGATTAAGTCTTATATCCGGAAGTGTTTGGAGCTGAGCTGGGAAATGGTGGTACAGCAGCCTCCCATGTACCTTCAGTTCAAGGTCAGACACGGGTCCGAGGCGGACGCCACCAAGTTCGACTTCTACTCACACCCTGGACAAAAGACAGACTATCTGGTTTGGCCGGCCCTCCTTAGGGATGAGAACGGACCTCTCCTGCAGAAAGGAGTCATACAAGCCATTTCAGATAAACCTTAAAGGTGACAATTCGCAAAGTCATTAAATATCATTTCAAAGAAATACTTACACTGCACGTTTTAAGAACAGGATCAAATGAATTCCCACTCGAAGACGTAAACTGTTGCAGGCTACTCGGAAAAAAGTTCATCCGTTACTCTTCATCACGTAGGTTTATCTAAGAATTGAACCATGTTTCCATTTTCATTTGGTCTCCGTATGTAAATAGATATCTATGTTAATTATTGCATGCAAGGATGTGAGTGTATGATTTGTGGATCTATGACAGTGTAAATGTTAGACTGAACACTGTAATTTTTCATGTTAACCAGAGATTGGTCAAAGGTGTGAATTTGTATAAACTCATACCTTTTGTTTCCAACAATAGGACATGACCATTGTAACATTGGGGATTCTGGTCGGTACGTGTTATTCACTTTAATTGAATTTATAGGGTTGTTATTTAATTGACTGTAGACTTTCTTCTTCTTTTGCTGTGACCACACTAACAAAACTATTTTTAGAATGACAGTACCTTTACTTAATTTTTTAAATCTGCTATGTGTTTATATAGTTATTGAATTGTTAATCGACACGGTCTGACACCTCGATTGTAGGGTGCTACAAGTATTTCTACGAAGATTTTCATTTGTCTGCCCCTATGAGTAAAACTGTAAAGCGTGTGGATGCCAAAATAGAGATGTGTGTTTTGAACTAAGTTTTAATATTTGGGGTGTTGGTGGATTGATAGTCTGGCAAAGAAATTTCATTCCGAGGGGTGATGTTCGGGATTGTCTAACCCGAGACATGCATCAAGCCAGGATTATGATGGTTATGTTAAGATTTCTCTGGCATAAAATCACTGAAGGGGATGATTCTTTTCTCCCACCCTCAAGTACATGCTTGAAAGCATATGTTTTAAGTGTTCTTAATCTGTTTTTCTTTCCTGATTTGCAAGTGTTCTCTACCGTCGAATGCTATTACGTCATAAGATCCTCTATTGTTCCTTTCCACGTGTTGTCAATACCCATCTGGGGTAACGGAGAGCTGACAGAGGAATCTCGTACAGGTAACACAGGAAACAGTTCAGACTGATGGGAGAAATGATGTGAATGTAGGGAGACCATCCTGTGAATTGTATAGTTTACACCTGTGTCTGGTATACGCTATAGGTTGTGAGTGTGGATGTATTCCTTTAGATCAGTAGTATACTCAGTATTGACACGTGATGACAGTATCGGTGTAAATACATGTAGAATCCAGAATGAATTTCATTATTTGAAATCAGAATGTTCTCCACCCATTAACGTTTCAGTGACAATATTCGGAACATCCTGCTGCACAATTGATCATACTCCATTTTTTCATTGTCATTTATTTATTATGACTTTGTTTGTGTTCTATATAGTATGCACAGGCAGCTAGCCTTATTTATTTACAGATATTCTAATTGGATTTCTTACTTGGGACGAGAGTTTACAGTAACTTTTAGCCTGTAAAGGCCTTTAAATGACTTGGTAGATTCTCTAGTGTTGAAATACTCACATACGGTAGTTACAAATCCTTTATATAAACAGAAAGTATAGTGGTTTTTTGAACCTAGAATTTCAAAAAGAGATATTTTTACTGTAGAATTCACTAGGACGAGTTCTGACTTCAGAATGTACAATTGCTGATCTCTGACTCCAGAATTCATAATGGACGATTTCTGACTCCAGAATCCATAATGGATGATTTCTGACTCCAGAATCCATAATGGACGATTTCTGACTCTAGGATCCATAATGGACGATTTCTGACTGAAGAATTTTACAATGGACGATATTAGACTGCAGAATTTTCAATGAACGGTTTTTAAAATAATTTTGAAAATATATGGCAAGTATGTGAGCTTGGTTGTTCGATTGATGAAATCGTATCTTACCAGCATTTACGGAGACATCAGTTTTTGTACTATCTTCTTTAAGTCTTTAATCACTTATTGGTATATGTCGCTTGATGAAGGTGCTAATTTCCATATGTAATTGTAACGTCTCGGTGAAAAATCAGTTTAGTGGATGATTAATGCAACGCCTTGATTACATATTTCCTTATTATCTTTACCTGACCATTTGGGCAGTTTTGTCTTAATTTAATGATATTGGATAATTGCTTTTAAAAATGAAAATATTTTGATTTTTATTAGAAAAAGAAAAACCTATTTTGCTTGATATTTTACTTCATGATGTATGCATTCCCCCACTTGATGTTTAATCGTTCGATGATAAGGTTCCTTCTTTTACCCTCAATAATTGATAATGTAACGTGCATAAAAAATAATGTAGATTGCAAACTAAATTTTAACCGAAATTATTTTAATATATTGCTGGGTGTGGTTTTGTGCATACTGATTGTATATGGTAAACTATGTATGAACACCGATAAGAGGACACGTTAAGAATCACCTGTACTCAAGTAAGTAGTGATCAATAGTTTTGTGCAGGTTATACTGTTCCTTCCATCACGGAGATCATTGATTGGACGATAGATGTCTGATGTCAAACCGTTCAATAGGCCAATGCATGTCACATATAGTCTTATGTTGATTGGACGAGGGGTGTCAAGTTAAGAGATTTGTGTTCGTTGGACGAGGGGTGTCAAGTTAAGAGATTTGTGTTCGTTGGACGAGGGGTGTCAAGTTAAGAGACTTGTGTTCGTTGGACGAGGGGTGTCAAGTTAAGAGATTTGTGTTCGTTGGACGAGGGGTGTCAAGTTAAGAGATTTGTGTTCGTTGGACGAGTGGTGTCAAGTTTAGAGATTTGTGTTCGTTGGACGAGGGGTTTCATGTTTAGAGAGTAACCCCGATTTGACGATTAACATCACGTGTGTAGCATATCTCGTTTTGGCAAGTTTGGCACTTCAAAGACTTGTGTTGATATGACAATGGCTGTAAAGTGTAATAATTCTTTCATGTTGATATGACAATGGCTGTAAAGTGTAATGATTCTTTCATGTTCAATATCTTTCCATTCCATTATACATTGATGCGTATTAATTAAAGGTGAATATTGATATATTGTCATCCATACATTGGAAGTGGTTAGTGAAGAATATATTTATACAACTTTAAGATATTAAGATATTACATGCACACAGTGATGTAGGTTCACGTGTGCTCAACTAATGCACTTCCCATGAGGTGAATTCGTATCTCTATAGCACGGATAACTGTGCAACTTTCAGTTTATTTAACACGTTGACGAACACACAGAAAATTTCCTACATTGAAGACTAGATGCGGTCTACAACTTATAATGAATGGTGTTTTTGTCTTACAAAATATTGTATCTTTGTTTTTAACAATATCCAAACATGCTTCTGTATTTATAAGCATAGAAATAATGCTCCAACGTCATTCGGTGATGTGCCTGATCAGTGGTATAGTGACTGATACGTGTTGATATGACTGAGCAGTGGTGACGTGACTGGTCAGTGGTAATGTGACTGGTCAGCAGTGGCGTGACTGAGCAGTGGTAATGTGGTTAGTTGTGATGTGACTGGTTAGTGGTAATGTGACTGGTTAGTGGTAATGCGACTGGTTAGTGGAAATGTGACTGGTCAGTGTTGATGTGACTGGTTAGTGGTAATGTGACTGGTTAGTGGTAATGTGACTGATCATTGGTCATGTGACTGGTTAGTTGTAATGTGACTGATTAGTGGTAATTGGACTGGTCAGCGGTAATGTGATTGGTCAGATTTGGAATCTTGCCATGTGTGTGTTAGTAAAGGTGTGTTATATGATTAGCGTATTGGTTATTTTTCTACTTAAATGTTATACTTCGTGTACAATAACAGTTTTCGCGTTCTGGTCTTGGGAGTTATATCCCCGTTTTCCTTACTAAAAGTTGTTTTTTTTTAAGTTAGAAGTTGTAAAGGTAGAGGTTCAAATGTCGATACTGGTTGATGTGATTGTATAAATTTGTTTTTTTTAAAGTAACTATTGGTGCACATTATAGAGTTTAGGACATTCATACTCCATTCATATATTGGATGGTCAGAAGATATACAGTGATTCAATAATATTTGATACAATACGATTTATCCAATCAACAAAATGGCTCATGAATTTTTAATGTATGTGTATAATCAAATTGTTTTTAATCAAATTATCCTGCCGGAATTTTATTTCAACACATGTTGATATCATTTTAACTTATGATGTATTTTTGCTCATATTCATTTTACTCGGTACAACCAATAACCATTGTACGGTGTGAAATGTTTCTTCGGCATAACGCGACCTTAATAATTTTGACGTAGCCGAATACCACTGTTTCGAAGCATAGCTACCGGATGGCAACCTAACACTTTGTGAAACATGCAAGATATATACTTATGATAATCGGTGATAATGGTAGAGGAATAGTGTTGTTTATTGTGTGCATGGCCCTCACGGTTCTACTTAAACTTTAATGGTAGGTTACCTGTTGCCTTTAGAGTGTTTTTTGTTATATGTCATTTTTTTATGTTTTATGTCGCTTTTATTGTGTTCAAGGAGTGTACTTTATTGAACTTGATTTACAATTTACAGTATTGGTTATTGTTTTAAAACCACACAATGTAATCGCTGTATATCAATTCTACAATTGTTTTAGCTTATAATTGTTGTTTTAGTGTGTTTTACGTAATCAAGTGCAATACACCTTAAACAGAATCCATGATGAGTTTACCTAGCACTAGGCCGTGTACTGAGCCCAGAAAAAAAGTCATTCGTCTGAAGCGGGTGTGTGAGAGCGGGAATCAACTAATTGTAACCCTACAGACTTTGGTATGTGAACGATTTTTTTTGTTTTAATTTGTGTGATGTAGAACGCAATTTTGACAATTTTTTCCCATTATTCATCGTAACAGGTTACAACACTAACGTTATTGTTCATTCATAATCCATACACGACCTCTACACGTGTACTTAAATATAAATCCACGGATCAGAAGTCATAACAACCTCATTCCTGGGAAAAAAAGTTCTGTACCCAATTGCTGTCGGGTTAGGTTTCACCCAAGATGCTTCAACATCATTTGCTTGACTGTGAATACTGTGGTAGTGAACTCGGTTTTGTAAAAGTGTAGTATATTTTTGTTTTCTCGATAAAATCAAACATTCCCAAAATAAAAGTGTTTGTTGTGAATGGTACCGCTTGTCTTCATGATTTAAGAGTGAAATGGTTACATACTTACTACTGAACAATACATTACTTACTCAGGATGGGTCTCACTAATTTGCGCCATAGGAGATTTAGCGCCATAGGTGCGCCATAGGAGTTTTTGCTTCAATCTATGCTGTGAAAACAGTACGGCCTTCATTACATCACAGGATACTTCAATCTACGCTGTGTAAACAGTACGACCTTCATTACATCACAGGATAGTCAACTGTAAAGTTGCTGGTTGGCTTTCCCAACTCTGACGGAAGACATCACGAACGGACGCCATACGTATTCAGCTTTACACCTGCGAGTTGACGCTTTGGTCAGTGATTGTATCAACTTTCTGCGTTGATGATTTGGTCAGTGATTGTATCAACTTTCTGCGTGGATGATTTGGTCAGTGATTGTATCAACTTTCTGCGTTGATGATTTGGTCCGTTATATCTGCATGTCTTTATCCCATTGTGTTGACGAAATGATCAGTAATATCCGTGTGCGTTGACACTAAGGTCTGTTTAATCCTTGTATGTTGATGCTATAGCTGGTTTTCCTATTTGTTTATGTCGTGGTTCGGTCTATCCATAGAAGTTGACGCTATGGTTTATTTAATTCTTGTGATGAAGCTATGATCAGTTCGATTCCCTTGACCTGAAGCTTCATTTTGATGAACTATTTTATCTGATTGTGTTGACACTGAGCTCGGTTTTTACTTTACGTAAGAGGGAGGGAATAGCTCAGCCCACAGAGAAATTGGCCCCTTTCACCGGACAATTTGAAAATCATACAACAAAATACCAATGGCATTGTTAATCTACTTTTATACATGCTGTTCTCGGATCACAAGTTTCTGAAATCGTACAAATCGCACATACATAATGTCTAAATATTAACCTTGCTGTTAAGTTTCTATAGTGTTGGATGACAAACATAACGTCTAATATACACCTTTCTTTTATAGTTTATATAGATCGCATATCACACATATGTTACCAGATGTATAATACGTTCTGACATAGTCCACCATAGTCTATAGAATGACTGGTATATATTAGTAGTTCTGACAAAAGACCACTATGAGTATAAGTCTATGAAGTGAACTCAGAACACACTAACAGAATAATGACAGAAAGTCTACCGTTTTAATATCTCGGTCCTCAGATCACACATACGTACAAAAAATTTGACTGAAAGTCTACAGACTTTATACTTCAGCGCTCAGATCACACGTACATAATAATGCCAGGAAGTCTACAGACTTAATACTTCAGCCTCCAGATCACACGTACATAATAATGCCAGGAAGTCTACAGACTTATTACTTCAGCGCTCAGATCACACGTACATAATAATGCCAGGAAGTCTACATATTCAGATTCTTTATTCAGATTCAGATTCTTTATTCTACAGTTTTGTGACAAGTTATCTGTTGTAGCATTTTCACACTTCCACAACACAACATATCACCCATGTGCAGATTTAACGTAGATGTCACGTGACTTAATATGTAATCCACTCTCGTTTTTCCTGCCAACGATATCACAGGTCGAATGTGGCAGCCATAATTAATCAAATTGATACATCAGTTTGCGCATCAGTGAGGTTAAATGACAATGGCGCACACTGTCTATGTAAAGTAAAAACTATATACATTTGTACGGACTTCTTAAAATTGATTGTTTCCTGAATATAACATCAACAAATATATGACAGATTTCATATAGCATAACACAAATATGGCCGGCAAATGACGTCACAGAAAAATTACGGATTGGTATTACCAGAATTGGCGCTCATTTTGAAAGATACTCATTTCAACAAAAAATGTTGTCGGAGTAACATGCCATTATTCTGTCACACTTGTGAATTGTGGTATACAATGGGAATTAGTGAATCCTCTATAGCATAATCAACAGTTAAAGTATGGGTATGAGGGATGTAGCAAGTTTATGATCCCCCGAGGCCAGGACTATTTCCCGAGGCAAAGCCGAGGGAAATAGTCCTGGACGAGGGGGATCATAAACTTGCTATATCCCGAAATATCCATACTTCAACTGTTTTATTATACCGATACAGACAACTCCCTTACAATATTCTAAATATTATTAGACAACACATTTTCAACAGTTGGGTCAGTCTGTCAACAACAATGCGAGGTGAAGGTCGGTCCAGAAAGTACCGGCTCCGCTGATCGGAAATTGCCGACGTAATTCGATTGCGCTGATTGGTTAATATATTCGGTCAGGCCCCGCCCACGACGTCACTCAATTTCCCGCATTTTCCGAGGGAAATAGTTTCAAAATTATCGCACCCCTCCAGACGAACTATTTCCCTGGCATGCAGTTAGAGGGGAAATAGCTTGTTTATGTGGTTACTTTTGTATAGTGTAAAATAAGTAGAGGTATAATAATGTGAAATAAAATATTGGTAAAAAATATATTTATAATCATAAACATTAAAAAGGCAGTGATAAAGTCACCACTGATCATAGCATCGCCATTGTCACCAGGAGGATGTTCAGCGGTTGGTATCGCCTTCACAAGTCAATATTAAAAACCGGAAGCGCTGTAGTGAGCTATTCCCTTTCTTCCATCATAATTGTGTACTTTCAGATATTGTGTCTTTGTGCTCCGACATATTTTCAGTGTCAGAATTGGCCTTTGTGTAAACTTTCTCATGGCAGTTCTGAAATGGAGAAGAATGCTGGTAATAGAGAAAATATTAACAGAAAGGTTCAGCTCAGGTGACCTAAAAAGATAATTAAATAGTTTTAATGTGTGTGGTTATTTGTCTGAAATAAACATAACATACCTATCCTATTCCATTATTTAGCCGTAGGAAAATATGTTCTCGCCGTTCAACGGGCGGTAACTCGTCATTTCGTTAGCTTCATGTGTGTTCACGGCTACTGATCTACCAACCAATAACTCCATACTCTAAGGAAAGGGCATCTTCGCTAGCCAAGGGCTACAACCCGGTACGATCTGGTCTTCCTACTCTCTACTGAAGAGTAGGTAGATTGTACCGGATCGTAGCCCTTGGCTAGCGAAGATAAGAAAAAGGTGGCTAAATTGCGTTTGTTGGGCAGACCTACTCCCTTCGAAATGTGAGTACAGTGTAATCGTGGTCAAACATATAACAACTGATTTGCACCTTGATTGAACACACCTTATGTCTAGATAAGACAATGGCTTCAATCTGCTAAAATATTTGGAAAGTGCTGAAAATTTAAAGAAACAAGAAAAATCGATGAAAAATAACACGTAGCTCAAAAATGGGTTAATTTAGTGAAGGTTTAAACATTTTGAACAAATTAATATATAAATCAGCATTCACTCTGCATAATATCAGTCAAATAACGCCATGAATCCCAGATATATCTTAAAGGAATCAGCCGAACAGATGGTATACCAATGAAATAGTCTACAACATGTCCATATAGCAGAGTTCCCACAATGGGTTCCCGTGACCACTTTTCCCGGACCAAGGTTTAGTCAATATGAGGGTGCTGATTAAAATGAGCTGGGGTGAACCTCGTGAAAATGTGGGCAAACTTGGTCAGACGCGAAAATTCAAAATGGCCGCCACCTGACGTCGGTATAAAAAGAAAATACATATCTTTGCTTCTAGATGTCCGTTTAATATGATTTTGGGGTCTAAATATATGTCTTTAGGGTCAGGGATTTTATAAATTAGCATAATAACTTGATAAAAGTAATCGTTAGATCGAGAAATGGTCTCTTATTATTTTGCTATCAAAAACCAGGATAACTGCCAGCTGGCTGCAAAGTTAAAGATCAGGAAGACACCCTAAATGGTTTTGATGCAAATGTTTCATCTTTAATCATTGTAAATTAGATAAAACAACTATTGTATGAAAATTCTGTTCTATGATTAAGCCAAAGGTGAGCTGTTGTCATGCAAGGCGCAAGGAAATAAAAGTTAGTTAGAAGCAGAAAGAAATATAAAACAGATCCCAAATATTGCAATGGGTGCAGCAGATTTATTTTGGTTGCTGTTATGTCCCCAAATCGAAGGCACAAAAGCTAATCCCGAATGATTCGGATGAGGCCGGGTGTCTAGGGAGTCGCCGCCACAAACAGCAAGTAGAAGAAAGATGTCATCAAATAAAGGAAACAAAAATGAATTAAGTGTTGTAATGGGAGAAGCAGATCAATTTTGGTCTCCATATCCTCTTCGTAGAAGACACGGACGAAACCCATAAATTCTGCAGGGGGCCCGAAGTAAGTCGCCTCTTATGATCATGCAGGGGGCGCGAAGTAAGTCGCCTCTTATGATCAGGCAGGGGGCCCGAAGTAAGCCGCCTCTTATGATCATGCAGGGGGCCTGAAGTAAGTCGCCTCTTATGATCATTCAGGGGACCCGAAGTAAGTCGCCTCTTATGATCAGGCAGGGGGCCCGAAGCAAGTCGCCTCTTATGATCAGGCAGGGGGCCCGAAGTAAGCCGCCTCTTATGATCATGCAGGGGGCTCGAAGTAAGTCGCCTCTTATGATCACGCAGGGGGCCCGAAGTAAGTCGCCTATTATGATCATGCAGGGGGCTCGAAGTAAGTCGCCTCTTATGATCAGGCAGGGGGCCCGAAGCAAGTCGCCTCTTATGATCAGGCAGGGGGCCCGAAGCAAGTCGCCTCTTATGATCAGGCAGGGGGCCCGAAGCAAGTCGCCTCTTATGATCAGGCAGGGGGCCCGAAGCAAGTCGCCTCTTATGATCAGGCAGGGGGCCCGAAGTAAGCCGCCTCTTATGATCATGCAGGGGGCCTGAAGTAAGTCGCCTCTTATGATCATCCAGGGGGCCCGAAGTAAGTCGCCTCTTATGATCATGCAGGGGGCCCGAAGTAAGTCGCCTCTTATGATCAGGCAGTGGGATTCAGCAGGCCTATTTTTCTCCCCAACCTGCAAAGGTTGGCTGGTCAATGAAACATGTAGACTTTCAGTCACCATCTTCCTCTTGTTCTAGAGTCACCATTACTTTCATAATGTTAACTTGGTAGTTTAGTCGTGTCACATTCAGATTGTGAGAATCTAGATATGGTGGGAAGCGGCACTTGGACTTCTGTTTGTCTGCACCCATTTCAGTACTCTGGTTTCACCTGAAGGCTAACTGAATTTATCATTGTAGATGTGTCAAAAAGTGAATGTGAACATTTTGCTGAAGAACCTCTTGTTTCACTGGAAATGCTTTGCAACATCTTTCAAAAGAAATGCGGGCTTCCTTTAGTTCAAGTTAGCCTACATTTTCACGAGGTTCACCCCAGCTTATTTTAATTAGCACCCTCATATTGACTTAAATCAACTTTCAAACCTTGGTCCGGGAAACGTGGTCCATTATGGAACTCTACTAATATGTCAAGGGAGCAGTGTCGTTTACAATGATACCATGTTATAGTATATACAGCTAACAAATCTACATATTCTCTCTTCTATCTAACCGCTCTCCATACTGAAAAGGCCTCAGTTGGACGCCGACCGCGATACCTTTTTACCTTGTAATGACCTAAATGACCCCATTGTGTCGATGGACCGTAACAACACAAACAAATATGTACATATGATGTATGCATAGACGTTTAACCGCGTATTTATATATTTTCTTTCTGAATTTTGAAATATTGCCTCATTAAACATGTAAATAAAATGACTACAGTACTCATGTTTTCTGTTGGATATATAATTATATCATAAATTAAGTAATTTGTGGTCAATGATATTTTCTTCTAAACAACTTTTGAGAATTGCTGTCCCCCTTTAATGAGCCAGGTCAGTAGGAAAGATAACACAGTAATATCTCAGCCTATCAATTCTTTAACACACGGGCTGTTTTGTCTCATAAACAAGGTGAACTGACAAACCTACAGTATCAGATCACTCAACCTATCATTTCAAGTCAACAGTCATGTAAATTTAAGTACAGAAATATGTCGATCTTCAGATCAGTGGCTGGGAGTTCATACTGGATGACTTTAACGTGTTGTGGGTCGCCTAACGAACTATAACGCCTCGTCTCACTATTACTGGCCCCCGAATCTATCGTTTTCAATGAGGAATTCAGCACTCTAAGTTTTAAAGTCACGTGAATTACCAAGTTTTAAAGTCACGTGAATTATGGAAACTTCTAGTGAGGCATTGTTTCAGCTCAGCGAATGTGTATATACTTGAGCAGCAAAATTATAACACTTACAGCTTAAACAGTTGGGGCGGTGTCAATAATAATGTATATGCTACATATAATCACACCATTGAAATTAAAGAGATACGCTAATCTTTACTTATTAAAGCTTTTGTTTTTCCTCAGCCTTTTCAAATTCGTTATCAATAAAGTCTTTGTGACATTGCCTCTTGGAGTATAGTACCCATCTTTGAAAAGTTAGTACCTCGTTATAAAAGAAAAATATACCTGTATCAATCAGCGCCACCGATGGAAACACTGAAATTTATCATGTCATATACACATTTCGGCGCCTTACGAATGTTGTAATAAAACATTACTCGGAGTGGTTATTCACTTAAGATTTTAAAAAACCGCTATTTTATGTTACTTTGGACTTATAGTCGATCGTACTCATTCAACACATCGGAAGTCTACAGCACATTGCAAAGGGGGACAATACAGTTTCCGCTCGCGAATTAAATCTTTCGTTAACATGTCGTCTGAAACAAATCGAAAATTGTTTATTCGCGGAAATTAAATCTGTATAACACTTCTTACTAATTGTATGCAGAGCAATGTATAAGCGATCCTTACTTTCTGCTCTAACTTATCCCCGCAGCAGGCGATTCTTCTGACAGACTTAGGTAGACAGGGACACGTTCTCTCCCCAAAACTAAACAGGTAACGACCGTCCGAATCCTCCATCTTTGGTCGACCTGTAACATTGTAAAGGTATGGGTTTGATGATACAGTATATTTACTTGTACAACACTCTCAATACGGGTCGGTATTCAAGAGCTTGCTCAGAGACTTCCGTCATAATTGTCGACTGCTGACGGACAAACTAACAACACTGGATTTCCAAAGATGTAGTTGATGAAGACTATAGACAAGATGTATGGTCGCAGTCATGATCCCAAAAGGAAATACATTTGTACGCTATTATTTATGTGGGTGAAATGAAGGCCGATGTTTTCTATTATGTTCATTAGTGTGCCTTGTGGTTTTGTTGCCATTACCAAGTTCAAGTTCTTTACTACTTTGAGTCTCACGACTCCTCAGTTACAAGTAACGAAAGTGCAAATTTTACAGTGCAAAATACAAAATAACATTAGACACACTCACAACACAATTATAAAACGAAACAGTATCATATGTTAGGAGAGTGCATCAATTTATACCAGAGTTCTCGATGTGACCACGTGATGGATTTGACCTAGATTTACATGGCGGATGTCGTCGATGAAGCAGAAGACGCTTACTCTTTCGTAACACCTGGTCTTATTCCCCTTGTTCTTTTTGCAAGGGAATGTATGTAAATCTTTCCTTTGTTCATATTTGCCATAGTTTGTTCGATTTTGTGTTCGAATTATTTTTTGTTGACGCTTCGGTGTTCGTTTTTTGTAACTTATAACCACTGGAAGTCTAACACTAAGTGGTGTCGACAGTATGGACTACCTAAAGTCAAATTTTCGCAGCAAACCGCTCCTTTTTCAAAACATAACATACCCAAAAAAGGACTAGCTATACATAAGAACAAAACAAAAACTATAAATATAAAGCTCTTTTCCACAACACAGTCATGCAAGATATCCCTGTATATGTGTTCACCTCGAACGAATCCTGGAAATTGCAATGAAAAAGTGAACGAGTCGTAATAAAAACGTTTAAAACCCGAATCGTCCGCGGTATTAATACAAGTAATGGAATCCAAAATGTGAAATTGATTAAGAGGCAACTCTCAATTACTATTTTATTGTCTAGTGTAACATGAATATGGTTTAGAAATAGGTGGTCATTGCTAAAATAATTTGCAGAACGATATGACTAAATGACAAATGAAAGAGTTAAGTTCGTCCCTTTGAAACATCATCCACAGCATAGAGCCACCTTACAATGAAACTGCCGGTGAATATCCAATATGAAATAAAGCTACCAAAAAAAAGTTATATATGGATTAACAATAAGAAAATATGATAGCTAATGTGGTTGAGTAAAACAAGGAAATGCTATTCTGTTCTGATGGGTCCCGACAGAAGAAAGGCGGATGCTTGATTGATGAATATGAAACTATAAATACCCGCCCAAAAATGTTCAAAAATGACATTCAGTAAATGTTTAAACTCACACCTGCTAGAAACTAAGAAACGCAAACCAACAATCAAAAGCAGTAAAACAAGTATTACAGGTTAAAATGTTAAAAGAGAAGTTTCATGGATGTGAGCTGCAAGCCCATAGCGCTTACCGAAAGGGTAGGGACTATGGAGTCGTTTTGTGAATAAACTAAACCAGTAGCTATCTTTGGTCTGTCGTTGTTAAACATTTTTGAAACGCATGTTACTTTTTCTTAACACGTGTGACTTTCCCCATATATTCAATATATTTTATCACATGATGTACTGTGTTATCCAGTGAATATACCCATGCCATTTTCTGTTTGCGTATTAACCCATGTAATATAACCAATCATCCCTGTGATTGGTTGGAAGTTTCAATTGTTTCAATTGTGACGTCACGCATAGGACATAGGACAAGTACATGACGTCACAGACTTACGCACTGGGGTCAAAACTGTGGCTTTTTACATTTCAAGGTTGCAAGAAAATTGTCGTTTTACACGAATAAATGCCACAAAACTTGATTATGACGAAAATGATCTTACACTCGTTTTCATTTCATATGAAATTTATGAAACTCGTCACGAATTTTTAATTTAGCTCGTTTAAAAATTCTTAGACACGTTTCATAAATCTCAAATGAAATGGAAACTCATGTAAGATCCTATATATATATATTGGTATAATATGGGCACAATATCCGAATAAACAAATACTTGTTGGAAGCGTATTACTTACACTGAAATTGATATAAACAGAGAGGTAATAGTGTTAGTACAGACAATGAAATCTGTCAATTCCGGAGGCAACCACTCTTTCATAAAAACATAAACACTAGACAATTACATTTTATATTACAACACAGAGAAAAATGTTAATGATTATAATACTATCTTTTATGCTGACGTTAAAATATATCCCATCCTTCATCTGGCTGGAAGCCAAATGCTGTTTATAATGACAAATCCATCTTAAGATAATTAAAGAAAAGGTAACGTGACGGAGTGTGGTACGTACCTACGACACAGCTCACTATACCGGCTACAAGTAACAAACAGAGTAGTCCCACGGCATCAAACCAATAGTTAGACAGGGAGTAGAGAGCGTCCAACCCCTCTGGCCTACAACACAGAATATCAAACGTATCAACATATAAAGAACGTAAATATCTATATATGTATATATAATAGGTTAGAGATGATCAAACATAAAGGAATAACACACGGGTGCTTGGCACACGAAACCAATATGATGCACGTACATTAGAGGCCGTAGTGAGAACTACATTGACGTAGGAAAAACGCAGTGCCAACGCTATGCCTCATCTTTCCCGTCCACATCACACTTTCACTAACAGGATGTCGTTACTCCGTCAATGCTGTCATTACTACGTGATTCAATCACTTCCTCTCCAAATTTGATATCATGTCCAAAGTTCGAAAACGTCGACCACGTCCATGAAGATCATAGCACGAAATTGTCGGTTTTTTATTGAGTTAGTTAGCTTTTATTTGTTTTAAAAGAATTATGAAACGCATTTTTTGAATATGTTAATCACACTTGTTGGTCCGAATGGAAGCACACAGGGGCTTGTCATTCTAATGCGTTCCTGCTACATTGTACAACTTCGGTTCTTCACTGTATCAACGCAGTTTTGAACACATAATGCGGAAATATCTTAGTTTAACTTGGGGTAATTTAGAATGGATGAAAAAACACGAAATCATAGGTATAAATTATCATAGTTATGCACATAATAATACCGTTTTTACGGCACCATATTTTCCATAAACGACTCATCCTAGGTATTAATGGCAACAGATTAAAACTCTATGCTTCCTAGTGCTAATATCATTACCCGGCCTCCTCTGCCCACGCAATATAAACAAAAACCTCTCGTCGTCAGAAAGCTGCGTTATCGCAGCTATATGAATCCATGTTTAGTGTGCCACAATAAAAATAACAAGAGGCCCAATGGGCCTGCATCGCTCACCTGGTATAAAACTCACACTTGTAACCTTAAAAGTGATCTAAAATAAAGCTACAGGCAAAATATCAGTATTTATGATTAAAATTCATGCAAAAAACCCTGTTATTTTTTTTGGAATATGATTAAAGGTCATACATTTATTCAAACTTGGTAGCCCTTGATCCTAGTATGCTACTGACTAAATATCATCACCCTGGGCATTTTGTTTATTCAGAAGAAGTTTTTAAAGTTTTAAAACATATTTGACCCCTGTGACCTTGAAAATGGGAGAAGGGCATTCATTTGAACAAACTTGGTAGCCCTTGATCCTAGTATGCTACTGACTAAATATCATCACCCTGGTCATTTTGGTTATTCAGAAGACGTTTTTAAAGATTTTAACATATTTGACCCCTGTGACCTTGAACATAGATGAAGGTCATTTATTTTAACAAACATTATAGCCCTTCATCTCAGCTTGCTACTGGCAAAATATCAGTATTTATGATTAAAATTCATTCAAAAAACCCTGTTATTTTTTTTTGGAATATGATTCAAGGTCATACATTTTTTCAAACTTGGTAGCCCTTGATCCTAGTATGCTACTGACTAAATATCATCACCCTGGTCATTTTGGTTATTCAGAAGAAGTTTTTAAAGTTTTAAAACATATTTGACCCCTGTGACCTTGAATATGGGTGAAGGTCTTTCATTTGAACAAACTTGGTAGCCCTTGATCCTAGTATGCTACTGACTAAATATCATCACCCTGGGCATTTTGGTTATTGAGAAGAAGATGTTTAAAGTTTTTGACATATTTGACTCCTGTGACCTTGAAAATGGGAGAAGGGCATTCATTTGAACAAACTTGGTAGCCCTTCATCTCAGCTAGCTACTGGCACAATATCATCACCCTGTGCATTTTGGTTATTCAGACGAAATTGTTGAATGTTTTTCACACATTTCACGCCTGTGACCTTGAATATAGATGCAGGTCATTTATTTGAATAAACTTTGTAGCCCTTTATCTCAGCATGGTACTGGCCAAATATCATTACCCTGGGCATTTTGGTTATTCAGAAGAAGTTGTTGAATGTTTTTCACACATTTCACCCCTGTGACCTTGAATATAGATGAAGGTCATTTATTTGAACAAACATTATAGCCCTTCATCTCAGCATGCTACTGGCCAAATATCATTACCCTTGGCATTTTGGTTATTCAGAAGAAGTTGTT